GGTGGGGAGGGAGGGGAAAAGAGGGGAGGCAGGAGAGAGGGGGCAGGGGAAGAGGGGGCAGGGAATAAGAAAAGAGAAGAGCCCTCTCGGGCCCCCCCCGCCCCGCCGGCGAGCGCAGCCCGGGAGGGGTCCGCAGGAGGCTAACAAGCCCTCCCTTCCTTCTCCTCGCCCCCCAACAGGGCCCAGAAGCCCCGCCACCACCCACTTGCTGGGCAACGGTGCAAAAAGAAGGGTCTCCCCCGGCTCCCAGCTCAGCCCGCAGTTTTCCGGGGGAGAGGGGACTCGCACCTTGCGCTTGCGGGCCTCCGCCGTGCCGCTCCACACAAAGCACTGGTAGATGGCCCGCAGGTTCTGCTTCCAGTTGTCCACCTTGAAGCTGCTCAGGTGCGAGCAGCCCGGCGGCGTCACCACCAGCTCCGCGTCCATGGCCTCGCTCTCCGGCTCGGGCCGGGACACCATGGGGGGCAAGGCCCGGCCGCGCGCGGGGGGCGGCGAGGGGGACGAGGACGACGCCAGCGCGGCGCGGGGCGGCGGGGAGGAGGGGGGGGCTGCTAGGCGGCGCGCCCCGGCCGGCCGGGGAACGGGCGCCGGGAACAAAGCGCGGGCAGCCGCGGGGCTGGCGGACAAAGACCCGGCTGCGCGGACGCCAAGGGGGAGGCGGCGGCCAGCCAGGCGCCGCCCGCGCTGCGCTCGCCGGGTTCGCGGAGCGCGGCGCGGGGCGGGGCGCGGAGGCCGCAGGCGGAGGTTACGTCATCCCCGGCCGGCCGCGGGCGCCGCACTGCGCAGGCTCCGGCCGCTCCCGGGCCCGCCCCGCCACCCCACCGCCCCCAGCCGCCCGCAGGCTCCAGGGCGATCCGCGGACTGAGTGCACGGCGGGGGCGTGGAGCCGACTAGGGCCCGCCCCCGCGCTTACGCCAGCGGTCGCCGGTCGGCCCCCGTGGCGCCCGCGGCGGTTGTCGCTAGCTGTCAGTCAGGACAGGCCGCCTGGTTCAGAGCTGCCTCCCGGGAAGCTGGCCACTTGCCATTCCCGGTCTCCCACGGAGAGCTGCGGAGGTGGGGGCCAGCCGAGGCTTGGGTGACGCGGAACGGCCTTCGGGGCACTGAGCCGGTTTGCACCGGCCTGAGCTCTGCCGCAAAGAGGCGGAGCAACGGGCCGGGCCTTGCAAATCCGTGCAGCCTCCCTTGGCCGCCGCTCCGTGCTGACCCCCCAGCCTGGGCTTTCCCACCTTAGGCGGTGCCTCCCTGGTTGGCTGTCAGTGTTGTTGGCAATGGGAGTCCCTCATCTGGGACTTTGCAGGTCTCTCATCTTTGTGGCCTGTCTGGAAGTTGCTGGGCATTGAAATGATTAAGACCACGTCCTACTTTGAAAATCCCAGGATGGATGCCATGTGATTTCACTCGCGCAGAATTGAAGAAACAAAAGAAATGAACAAAGGAAAAAAACAAAACCCTAGACTCAAAAAAACAGAACAAACTGGTGGCTGTCCGAGGGAAGGTGGGTGGGTGCATGGGTGAAATAAAGGGGATTAAGAATGCACTTAAATTGATGAGCACTGAGAAATGTATAGAATTGTTGAATAATTGTACATGTGAGACTAATATAACATTTTATATTAATTGTACTTCAATAAGAAAAAAATCCCAGAGTGGAATGTCAGTTGATGCAGCCACTGTGGAGGTTCCTCAAACATTAAAATTACCAATATCACATGAGCCAGTAATCACACTACTGGGTATTTACCCAAAGAAAATAATGCTGACTCAAGGCTATATGCACCCCTCTGCTTATTGTAGCATTGTTTATGATAGACAAGATATGGAAGCAACCTAAGTGTCAATCAATACGTGAATGGATAAAGATGTGGTATATATACACGGTAGAATAGTACGGCCATAAAAAAAGAATGAGAGCTTGCCATTTGTGACTGCATGGACGGACCTAGAAGGTATTACGCCAAGTGAAGTAAGTCAAACAGAGAAAGACAAACACTATAATATTTCACTCCTGTGTGGAATCTAAAAAACAAAATGAACAAACAAAAAGGCAGAAACGGATCCATAAGTACAGAGAACAATCTGGTGGTTGCCAGAGGGGAGTGGGGGATGGGAGGGGATGTGCAAAAATGGGTGAAAGGGAGTGGGAGGTCCAGGCTTCCAGTTATGGGGTGAATAAGCCATGGGGAGGAAAGGTACAGCATGGCTGTAATAATAGGGCAGTAGAGTGACCGAGGGCGGCTACACTTGTGGTACGCACAGCATAATGCACGGAGTTGTGGAATCACTATGCTGTGTGCCGGAAACTAATGTAACATTGTGTGTCAACTGTACTTGAATTAAAAAAAAAGAATCCCATGGGGCACCTGGGTGGCTCAGTCGTTAAGCATCTGCCTTCAGCTCAGGTCATGATCCCAGGGTCCTGGGATGGAGCCCCACAGCGGGCTCCGCGGGAAGCCTGCTTCTCCCTCTCCCACTCCCTCTGCTTGTGTTCCCTCTCTCACTGTTTCTCTCTCTGTCAAATCAATAAATAAAATCTTTAAAAAAAAAAAGGAATCCCACAATGTAGTGGGAGAAATAGCAACATCAGCAGGCAATTACAGTAATATGAAATTGCAGAGATAAAGGAAAGTCCAGGTAATATGAAAACATTGCAAGACACCTTTTACCCTAACCCTGCCCAGCAGTCATAGTGGGGGGGATCCAGAAATGTTTAGTATGCCTGACAGAAGCATAGAACGATGAGTAAGAGTTGGCCAGTTTTTTAAAAATAAGTGACATGTGGGCGCCTGGGTGGCTCAGTTGGTTGGGCGACTGCCTTCGGCTCAGGTCATGATCCTGGAGTCCTGGGATCGAGTCCCACGTCGGGCTCCCTGCTCAGCGGGGAGTCTGCTTCTCCCTCTGACCCTCTTCCCTCTCGTGCTATCTCTCATTCTCTCTCTCTCAAATAAATAAATAAAATCTTTTAAAAAAAAATAAGTGACATGGTGAGGGATTTGTCTTAAAAAGTATTTCCCACCATCCATGAGACTAACATGGTCTAAAATTTATTTTCTATATGTTTTTTTAATTTTTGTTTTCCAACTTAAAGAAATTTAAAACACCTGTGGAATTGTACTTCCACAATTGGAAGGTGTTGACTATAGGTCAAGCAATATCCCACACTAATCCTCCCTCTGATAACAACTGTGATCTCTGGACAGAATACAAAAACAAACACCTGAAAGCATTGGAGAGTGACCCAAAGCAAGCAGATTCAGGAGGGAGCAGACCCGTGGAAGACGGGACTTGCCCAAAGAAAGTAACCTGTTTTTTATGGCTTATAGACTGAGGACAGGCTACACTTGGAGGAACCCAGACAGGGAAGCTGAAACTCTGACAAAAGACCCCCACCTCTTTCTGGACTGAGGAATCAGGGGAAGAGTACCGAACATACCACTGAAAAGTGAGGAGAAAGAGAAGGGGAGCCCCAGAGTCTATGCATGAACTATGTCTTGACCACTTAGCCACTCATTGCTAGTTCCAAGCAGCCCAAGTAGAAGAAATGAAGTGAGTAGAGATTAAACCTGCTGCCCAAGAAATAGTTAAAATTTAAGTCGGTGCCTTTAAGAAAAAATTTATCAACTCTCTTTGGAGGTATATAACAAAATCCATACTTAAAAAATATAACATTTCTAGGACACCTGGGTGCTTCAGTCGTTGGGCGTCTGCCTTTGGCTCGGGTCATGATCCCGGGGTCCTGGGATCGAGCCCCGCATCGGGCACCCTGCTCCGCGGGGGCCTGCTTCTCCCTCTCCCACTCCCCCTGCTTGTGTTCCCTCTCTTGCTGTCTCTCTCTCTGTCAAATAAATAAAAAAATAAAAATCTTAAAAAAATATATAACATTTCTAACATTCAAGATACAATCCAAAATTATTTGACATATGAAGAAAAATATGAAAATATGATTCATTTTCAAGAGATAAGACAGTCAGAGGTGAACAACCCTATGAAGTATGAAATGTTAAAATTAGCATGTGAGGACTTCAAAGTGGCTATGATAACTGTGCTTGGTGAAGTAAAGGACAATATCCTTGAAATGAATGAAAAGATAGGAAATAGCAGCAGTGAAATATGAACTACGTATAAGAACCAAATGGAAGAACTGGAACCGAAGTATACAGTATCTCCAATAAAATGTCACCTTAAGACCAGAATAGAGGGCGCTTGGGTGGCTCAGTTGGTTAAGCGACTGCCTTCAGCTCAGGTCATGATCCTGGAGTCCCGGGATCGAGTCCCACATCGGGCTCCCTGCTCAGCGGGGAGTCTGCTTCTCCCTCTGACCCTCTTCCCTCTCGTGCTCTCTGTCTCTCATTCTCTCTCTCTCAAATAAATAAATAAAATCTTTTAAAAAAATTTAAAAAAGGGCGCCTGGGTGGCTCAGTTGGTTAAGCGTCTGCCTTCGGCTCAGGTCATGATCCCAGAGTCCTGGGATCAAGTCCCGCATCGGGCTCCCTGCTCCTTGGAAGCCTGCTTCTCCCTCTGCCTCTCTCTCTCTCTCTCTCTCTCTGTGTCTCTCATGAATAAATAAATAAAATCTTAAAAAAAAAATTTAAAAAAATAAAAATAGCTGGGAGTATACATCTCTAAAAGGGGCAAAATATGACAGTCTGTGTCAGAAATTACAACAGCCTATTCAGAACTTGATGAATATTTTATCTCCCTAGGGAGAAGTACTTTTTGACCGCCGTGTTCTGTCACTCACCAGCCTGCTAAGGACTCCAAAAAGCAAATTGTAGCCCCTGGCTGGTCTCCAGGCTCTGGTGACGGGACCACCCATGCTGTGTCATGACCTGCCTCTGCACAGGACTGTGACCCGTTAGCAGTCTGAACACGCAGCACACGGGGCTGGATGCCCCGCAGCCTAGCAACGGTGTCCTTGTCCTTTGCGAAGGGATGGCAGAGGGACAATGGCTCTTCCTTTACAAGGCTGCCAAGCCCTCCTATTTCTCACTCTCTCTCTCTCCTCTCTGCCTTTCTCTCTTCTATTTTGTACTCCTGTCCCCATGTCATCTCTGTGGTCTGTCACGAGTCATTTCTTCCTGTCTTTGGCATGCAGGGAAGAGCTGGGATTTTGAAAACCGATGAAGCATTGCAGCCAGGGAGGGAAGGGACAGCTCAGCAAGCTGGGCGGGCCAAGTCTTCTTCCCTAAGAGCCTAAGGCTCCCCTGCCCCCTTCCCAGAAAGGAGATATGTGTATGCGTCTGTGTGCAGACCAAGGCACATTTACAAGTCACTGAGTGCTTGAGCCAGAAAATCCTTGTTTCCTTTTACTGTCCCTATTACATTGCTGCCTACCTTCTGGGCCTTCACCTGACCCTTTTTCTGTCCCCACTTCCCATTCTATCCTGAGCAGAGGCGGCGGAGCATAAAGGCTGAGAGCATAGGTCTGGGGCCAGACCACCTGGGTTCAACCCCGTCTCCGGTACTTATGGGTGTGTGACTTCCAGCAGATTAATCGTGCCTCAGTTTCCTCATTTGTAACATGGGAGTGAAAAAGGCATCCACCTTAAAGGCCTGCTGTGAGGATTAAATAAATGAGTTACACCAAGTGAAGAATTTAGGACCACGCCCAGCATTGTGGTAAGCTCGAATCATGCAACTGGCTCAACCATCCTACTGCGCGATTTGGAAGTACAGAGGCACAAAC